GGAAACGCTTGTAGAATGTGGTATTGAAACCCAGATAATTCGTATCTTAAAAAATCACTATTCGAATTTATTCGCTTGTTTCAAAATAAATAATAAAATCTCTCCCTTTTTCAGGATTAAAAAAGGGGTAAAACAAGGCTGTACCCTCTCACCTCTCCTGTTTAACATAATCATCAATAAAATAATAAAAGAAGTATTGGGAGCTGCAGATCTAATAGACATAGGATCTGTTGAGAAAATTTTTTTTGTTAATAGGATAATATCCTATGCAGATGATATTGTAGTGATTTCGAAAAGCATTGAAGAGACCAAAAATCTACTTTATCTAATTGAGACAGTAAGCTATAGAGTTGGACTTAGGATCAACTTTAACAAAACGGTTATTCTTCCCTCCCCAAATGCGCCTTCAATTCAAGATTTTACAGTTGGAGGGAATACAGTGAAAATAGTAGAGAATATAAAATACTTAGGGGTAATCTTGGATAACAAAGGAAGTTGTATGAGAATACAGAAAGCTAGAGGTGCTTTCTACAGATATATGAAAATATGGAAAGCTAGCGAAATTTCAGTGTTTACTAGATTGAGAATATTCAATTCGTTGATTGTTCCAATTGCATTATATGGTGAAGATATCTGGGAGGCAAACAAAACAGAGATTAGACGGCTTCAATCTTTTATAAATAATTGTCTTCGTACGATACACGGGATTTTCTATCCAAGAGTAATCTCTAACTCAAATCTTTGGAGGAAGTCTACTCACACACCAGTGAATATTACTCTTAAGAAAAGACGAATTCAGTTATTAGGCCATGTAATAAGAAACTCTGATAATAATTTAGTCCATGATGCCATAACATGGCTGTACTCATATAAAGGTAAACAGTACACAATATACAAAACATTATGGTACTATAAAACTATAAAAGATATAATGGATCTAAACGTTAACATGAAACAATTCATTAAACTGAACAACAATAAAAGATCCATTAAAAAACTGTTTCGTATCAAGAAAAGTTACCTTCAATAAATACAAAAATACATTCTCATAATGTATGTTACATTATCATCACCCATTAATCCTATAGTATATTTACCATCGTTATAAATTTCAAAAAATTTAAATTCATCATTATCAAACATTTCCAATACCACCATACATTCAATCCTCTCATAAGTATATTTTATATTTCCTTACTAAAAATTGTTTTAATATAGTAAATATTTTTAATGGTAAATTGTCCTCAACCCACCACAACGTAATTAACTTTCACTGTAGTTATTGGGTATAGGCTCTTTTTTTGTCCCACCCTTTTTTATAAGCCTATAGAGGTTTAAGCAATATTTTTCGAAATATTGCGCCTACAAGTACGTGCGGCTTGCCCACAAACGTGTGGAGGGCTCCTCATATTTTAACTTTTATACCCAAATTTAACTGTTCCAATAAGATGGAAATGAGGAAAACCTAGCGTAGCTCTGTTGCATTTCAACACTAGAGGGCATAAGCGCTATATATCACGTATCACGTAAAATGCATTTTAATGAATGAATTATGTCATTGATTTGGACCTTGAAAATAATTTTAAGAAGAGGCATGGTAATTAAATTTAAATATCAATAATATAGTTGATTAGTGATTTTGAACTCGGCTAATTACAATATTAAATTTGTTAATTATCAATTAATATTTATTTAATTAGGGTTATATAATAATTTAAATAATAAAAGTCAATAAAGCTTCAACTGTTAATGCTAAATTAATATTTAGTGAGTGATATTAATATTCTATTTTTAACACAGAATTTGATTGCAAGCTGACATAGTGAAAAATATAATTTATAAGTATTAATCTAATCTAATAATTAAAATAATATTCATTTAAGAATACTTTAGATAGACTTATTAATTTTTAAATTATAAAATTAAATCTATATATTACTCAATAGAATTATAAAAGAAATCATTCAGTGGGCAATCAAAAAATTTATTTCAAGGGGATATTTTGGAGCCATTAAACAAAAAAAATTTTGTTTCAGGGGGCTCGAGACTCTGCGCCCCCCCCCCTAGGGACGCCACTGTCATTGTTATTAGATATAGCACCATTTACTGATTCACATTCTGGTGAAAATATATATGGGGAATTTTCTCAAATTATAAAAAATTATAATATAGATATCAGTTACATGGCAATTACTTGTGATAATGCAAGCTCGAATTCAACCTTAATAAAAATTCTTCGTATAAAACACCCAACTTGTAAAATTTTACATGTACGATGTTTTGCACATGTACTTAATTTACTAGTAAAAGAAATACTTAAGAAAGTAGACAGTCAATTAACAAAATTAAGAACACTCATTAAAGCTATACGTAATTCTTTTATAAAAACAAATATTATGAAAAATGTATGAGCTTACTTACTTCCCACTATTAAATTTCTTAAATAAAAATTAGACACATCCATCAAATGTAATCGCTCCTATATAATGGTCGAAAGAGCTATCAAAATGAGAAGGGCCATTGATGAAGTTGTGACTCAGATATATGATGATATATCTGATATATAAGAGAGACAACTGACTTAAGTATTTTAATTGGTTTATTTACTAATTTTTATTTTTTACCGGGATGATTGATGTCTTTGTTAAATATACAAGAAAAATTAAAGACTTTTTTTGATTTTACTGAAGATATCTGTGGTGACACATATCCCACCTTAAATCTTGTGATCCCATTTTATGTTTCGTTAATCGAACATTTAAACTCATTTGACTACTCTTTTATAAACATATGGTATATGTTGATAAAATATCTATAATAAGATATTAAATTTTGACAACAATTGATTTGTTATATATTATTAGTTAATTTTTTGTAGAGAAGAATTCATGTACTCATTGTTTCATCTTGAATATCATACCATAAAATAATCATGCATAACCCACCTTGATTTCATATATAAGTTATTTCATTTCCATTCCTCCTTTATTCCTAGACATGCTTATTATGGTGGTGGTGTATTTTTTTAAAAACAAATACTTGGTGGTAATATACCAAGTTTAAAGCATTGTATAAGTTAGGTCATTCAATGAGATTGATGCCCATCTCAATGAAACCTGGCATGATAGTAATCTATGCAGAAAATTTTTGAGTGCTAGCTCAATCAGATTCAAAGATATGTGTCTTCAAAGGAAAATCACCAATGTGTGATTTCATTAAATCTTTTTTTAAAAAAAAATACTAAGATAGAGTTACAAATTATCATTTTATAGCCTTTATAACTTTACATAGGTATATATAAAAAAAATAAGCTTCTTTTAACAAGATATATATTCGAGGTCAGCTTGGAGTCATTTTTCTAGTATTTTTACATCCACTATAACTTAAATTTTTTTATATTTAATTTTAAGTACCATTGATATATGAAGATATCCATTTTTCCCATCTACCACTATGATATAATACAAGGTGGCAAGCTATAATTAAACAAAAGATTTTATTCTCTGAAAATATTTACATTGTGATACTTCTATAAAAAAATATTAGTCTATATAAGACAAATAATAAGTTAAATTTGAGTGTTATATAAAATTAGGAAAAGTATAAATTTAAATCGTGAAAAGTTATTAGGTGTTATTTAATAAAATGTAATAAAAGTAAGAATTAAATAAATTTGACTACTGCAACATTTTATAAGGCAATTATTCAATCACATAGTGACAGGTAGTATAGATTTCGTGATGAAATCTAGGCCTAGAAATATAACAAGCAAAAATATAAAATATGTAAATGATAGTACTAAGACATGAAGATCATTTATTGTGAATCTATAATTCAATTTATTTCGCATATTTAATTTAAGAAGAGATGAAGTGATAATTTTGGCTTTTGTTGATTCTATTCACACTTTCTAGCAATTATTTTAAAGGTACTGTATAAATATAAAATATGTTTAATTTATAATTCAATTTTTTTCACATATTTAATTTGAGAAGAGATACAATGATAAATTGGGCTTTTGTTGGTTCCATTCACACTTTTTACCGATATTCAAATCAAAATATATAGATTATTATCATTCAGATCTAATATATCTGAAAATTATTTTCTGATATATTACTTTTAAATCTGAAATCTTAAGGTAAGATAATTTCCTTTATCAAATAATTTATTTATTCCATACTGTGATAAGATTACTAATTCATGTCCCAAACAGGTTGTGTCTATATTTACTGACATTCGATCCTGTCATGACCATTGAATATTTTCTTGGACTTTAAATTGATGGGGGGTAAGGGATCCGCAAAGAAATTTTAATACATTTTTATTGTGTAAATAAAATTAAAAATGGTTTTTTTGGTAAAATTTTACTGAAATATTTCTTTATAGATTCTTTTTTTTGCAGCAAGAATCATTGAATGAATAAAATATAGCTGCAAAACACTAGTTTATATAAAGCTGGAAAAAGTCTCTATGATGCTTTACTTTATAAATTATCCAAACCATATTATTAAATAAGGCCTAGAGTTAATCATATAACAAAAGAACATTTTAAAAATTTATATTCTATAGACTCCAGATAATTGGGTAGGCCTATAAATCGAATCGAATAATATTATTATTCGTAGAATATTTGTGCTATTCGTATTCGTACAAATCAAATAATTTATTATTGGTATTTGTACGAATAATAAAATCATTATTCCATTCGAAAATTTCTAAAGTTTAAAAATAGATTATATTTTGCAAAAAATAATTATAAACAGATGTGGATGATCTGAAATGACACTTTAACTAAAAAATAACTAATTCAATCTAATATTCCATATTTAATTAAAATTTTCTTTTATAAACATCAAAATATAATACATAAAAAATACAATTATGCTAGATCTGAATTTGATAATAATCAGTTTTTTAAGCATAAAGTCTTTCTTATGGTTTCTTCCTTAAAAGACATTCTATTTTTCGTTATCATATTTTTTAAAATCATTTATTTATATAAATTTGTTATAAAGTTTTAAATACAACCAGCAATATTTTTACAAAGTAATATTAATTATCACCAATTTTTTCAATCTCATCTTTAAATTTTTTCTCCCATAATCTCTCATAATCTACAAAACCATCTTTTCCTTTGTTAAATGAATTAGGACCTGATGATGTAGGTGTATCCCTAATTAACAACATACATTAATAAATCTCATTTTATTTACTTTCCAATATTCCTCATCCTCATTTTAGCTTCAAAAGGCATATCTTCATCCTCTTCACTCTTTTGGAACATTATTAAAAATATTTATTTATTTAAATACATTATCAGGATTAAAAATAGTTGCGACTGCTGGATCAGACTTCTCTAACACTGTTTCCTATAAAATATTAAGTTATGTTTACATAAAAATTCTGACTTCAGGCTTTTTTATTTTCAATGTAATAAGAGACTTTTTCTTAAACTTGATAACAGGCTTAGATTTTTTAAGTATAATCTCTTTGGTTTTGTCTTCATTTTTCCGCTTTATATTGTTTAAAAGATTATTCTTTTCGACTCTATTATCTTCGGTATCATCACCTAATAAAAACTGATAAACATAAATAAACTCATATGGATAATATTGGGATATATTAAATATTATAGTTTGAATATGCATGAAAAATATATTTTTGAAAAAGAGTTTACCCTTTGGTTTATCAATAGCTGATAATTTTTTATTATCAGTAGACATTTTTTAATTTTTAAGAATTTTATAAAACCAAAAAAGTGACAATCTGTCCTTAATTATGTAAACACCCAAATTTGATAGAATGTCCATATATTTGACTAATTAATAGGATTAAATAATATGGAAGGCAAGATTTTATTAAAATAAGATATATAAATTTGGGGTTTTATATCATTTATTATTTTGAAATCATATATATATTTTTATATAAGTTGCTCTAATAAACCAATTATTCTCATTATCAATTATATTTTATAATAAATTCTTATGTAAAATACAAGTTAATACCAATAAATAAAATATTATGAACAATAAAATTATGTTTATCCTTTTACAAATTTTACAAAAGTAAATTATATTATAATAAATTTTAGACTAACTTAACCGTAGCTACGGAGGGGGTTTTCGGGTTTGGACCCCTCCCAAAGCAAAATTTTTTTATCAGATTATACGTTCAAAAGACACAAAAGTGACTTTATATCAAATAAATACCATGAATATTTATATTTTTCTGGCTTTGATGTTTGTGGAATGATTTTATATTACTATTGAAATTTTTCTGGATAGTATTATTATAATTAGAGTTGGGCAGTACCGCGAATACTTGTATCTAAGATACAAGATCCTTTTGTATCTTGTACTCAGTATCTTATTGACATTTTTAAGAAGATACTAGTATCTGTATCTAAGATCCTTTATTTTGAAAAGAATCTTGTATCTTTTTCATTTTCTTTAAAAAGATACAGATACAGATTCTTTTTAATATTCATGTTTAAAACATTTACATATCACACAATGTAACTTTATTTTCTTCGTGAAATCTTGTATTATTTTCTTTATTTTTTCCCGCTATATTTTAAATATATTGATAACCAAAATTAGTTGGAAGTTTTACAGGTAACAAAGATTGATAGATTAAAAATAACAACACCAAATAAGGATTTAATTTGTAGAATGTTTAACAATCATAGTAGTGAAGATGAAATTATGGAGATAGGTTCTCCTGAATCAAATCCGAATCTTAAAATTCTAGATTGAAAAAGAACAAGGTATAAGCTAAATGTCAAAATTGCACAAGTAAAAAAGTTATTAAAGATTCAACAAACTCCTCTACAAACTTTGTTAATTAAACATATTAAAGTATATTATACATTTTTTATTTTATAATTATTAACATAATAATACCTCTACTTAAGTCGCTCTTAGATAATTGTTATTAAAAATTTTTATAGAAGATGGTTGAATATCAAATTAAAATCATTTTGGATATATATTTTTTAGGGATGTATCGATACCACTTTTTTGGAGGCCGATCCCATATTCCCGATATTAAATTGATATCGGTCGATTACCGATCCGATATCATATCTAATTTTATATTCTGTAAAGATACCAATGGTTTTCATTTATAATATACTTTTTATTAGTACGTCTATAATTTAACTATACCATAACTTATCTCATTTAAATATATTATAATGATCAGTTATAGTTTATATTCAATTCAATTGCAATTCTATAAAAATATAAAATATTTTTATTGTTAAATCACTTTTCTTTTATATAATAAGTAATAACATTAATCTATATATATAATAAGTAATAAACAATTATATTATGAAATTTGAAATAAATATTTAAAATAATATTTAATATTAATATATCAAAGATTTCTTTTTAGAAATACCAATATTTCCAATTTATAAGAGGTCAGCTTGCGGCAGTATCTGTCAATATCACCAACTTCACCAAAAACAGATTCTGAAGAAAATTTCGCACATTATAATAAACAGAATGGGCAAAAAAATAACAATATGGCAGAATGTTTATTAATTATTTATTATTATTAAAAAAATATACATAAAAGTGAATTTCGATTTTATATTTATAAAGATAAATGATCTTAGATATAATCTTTTTTAAAAATTTTATAACATTTTATTTTTGTTAAAGAAGCCATTTTATATCGGATCAAATTTTATAATATTGGCCGATAACCGATATTTTAAAGGGTGAAGTCGGCCCGATCCGATAAAAAATATCGGAACATCCCTAATATATTTTATATATAATTATTTTAGCAAGTTCTTATTAGAGAAAATATTTAAGCTACACTTGATATATAACATCAGATAATTTTAAAAGGCTCTTAATAAAATAAAATATTATAATAAAGTAGAATTTAACTTTATTAGTTACTTTTATTTATTTATGATATAAGTAAAATTACATTACAGCATTTATTTACAAAATTTAATCAATTTAAAATGCATTAAAGAAAATTGTTATGTATTAAATAATTATAATATAATGTTATACATTATTTTCATATTTTTTATATATAATTAATAATTTTGCAAGAAATATATAAAAAAAATTTGAAAAGAGATTTAAATGATTTTTATTATATATATGATATTATAAACGCAAGAATTAGTAAGTCATATTAGAAAATAAACTAATTTAAAAAATACATTAATATCACAAACAAGTAATGATAAATACTTATTAAAGATAATGAATAAAATAAAACTAGTATATTTTTTTAGAAACGCCATTTAGCCATATATTCCGAATATATGCTATATTTAAAACAACACAGAAAATAACCAGCAAATTCTAATAAAACATTTGATTTAATTTTTTTTTCTTATTTGCAAATTTTTAACTCCTATTAAATATATTACTCTCCCTTCCCTGTTTAAGCTATTAATAGGCAAAAACATATATTAAAATCCCTGTTTATTATAATTAATTCATTAATAAATATTTTATGAATTATTGCAAATATTCATTCTTATATGTGTATGCTATGTTCTTCACAAATAAATAAGAAAAACTGTATTTTATAAACTATTCTAATTTAATTGGTAATGATAATTTAAAAGTATCTTGTATTTAAAATACTCTAATTTAGTAAAAGATACAAGTATCTTTTATCTTGTATCTTTTTGATATTTTGAAAAAGATACTAGTATCTGTATCTAAGATTCATTTTTTTATTAAGAATCTGTATCTAGATTCTTTTTCTGAAGGACCTGCCCAACTCTGAGAATAATCTACTAAATTTTATAACATATTATTGATGCATTTTAAAAATATATTTATTATATATTATCGAAGATTGATTAATAATTCTAGGACTTTTATATTATAAGAAAAACAAATATGATTTTTAAGATAGACCCGGGCAAAGGTTGGGCCAAAGGGTCATAGGCCCGTTAAAGGAGGGTCTGGGGACGAAGCCCCCAAGCGTTTATATGTATGCACCCCCTTTAAGAAAATTCCTAGGTACGATCCTAATTTTTTAGCCAAAATCTCTATTGGACTTTACCGATGTCAAATACCACGTTTAATTAAGTTTTCAAGAAAATGTCAGTCCCTAACCTATAAATACTTCTACCACATAAGGGTATTGTGCAAGATCGTTTGATATAAACAATAAGTAGATGTCGGAGATATTGTTCTGTCAATGATAAAGCGCCCTTAGAGCAAGGAAAGTCTTAAATAAAATAACGAATTCTTATACTATATTAAAAATTATTACAATTTTTATATAATTACAAATGAATACTATTTTTACTATATAAAAAATTAACATTCTTTTTACTACGTTTAAAATTATATATTAGCAAAGCAAATTTAAAATTGCTTTTTTTTTAAATAAAAGAAAAAAACATGCCAATTTTTAATGTTTGTTTGCATTTTTAAAATATATAAATTTCCTTCACAAAAATAGTAATTTATTTCTTTTCATAATTATTTCAATAAAGAGCAGTGGCGTAGCCAGGATTTATCCATAGAAGAGGTGGGGGGAGAGGGGGGTCAAAAATTCTAGGTATGGCGTCGCCCCCAAACTTTTTTTCTACCGGCCGTTCAGTAGTTATCTTTATATCATATTTGTTGAAGTTGGCTAAACAATTGAAAATACTAATTTTAAAATTTACCAATATTTTCTGCTTTATTAATGTCTAAGCACTTAAGTAGCCAGCAAAAATATATTTATAACAAAATTTTGGCCAAATTTATGATTAATAGGCGAATTAAATTATTCTGAAAATTTTATCTATATTTAGTGTTCAATTGCAAATTAATTCAGTCCATTTGGTGTAGAAAGAAACCAGATCCCCCCCCCCCAAAAAACTCCCATTTTTTATGATCACCCATCTTATTTTATTTTATAAGTAATTATTTTAATTAAATTTTTCATATGACAAATTTTTACAGAATTTTATTATAGATTTTATTTATTATTAAAATTTAGTATAAAAAACATCGCTTTATTTAACTATATATTTATTTTAATAATAATATACAAAATATATTTCAAAATGTATAAATTTATACAGATAAATTTATTGTAAATAATTTTATAAAAAAAATATAATAACAATAGAATATAAGTAATTCATAAAAAAATATATTTAACAATTATAATTTTTTTTTTTTAAAAAAAAGAAGAAAATTCAATACAAATATGATAAAATATTATTATTTAAAAATTAACATTATAATATAGAGAATATAATAAAATATGCCATATATAAATATAAGTTAAAAAAAAAGATTGATACAAATGTATATTTTTATAAAAAGAAAAAACATTTTTAAAAAAAATATCAAATGGCGAGATCAAGACATGATGTTTAAATATTTGATAATTAGATCTAAATATAGATACGATGATTTTCTGCTTGAGTTTATAAAATGGAGAAAGGTATGATTTTTTTATTGATTTGGATATTATTTTGAAGAGATCTAATGCCGCTTGTCCAAAAGAGCAGGTTGATATAGCAGCTATGGAAACAAAGTGGTTGTCACATATTAGGTGTATTTTTTAGAGATTCGGCTCGGATCATGCGAATTATTAGATGGGGCCATGGGATCAATGCAGGTAAAATCCCACATTAAAGGCTTTCCCATGGTACGATTGTTTCGCCGTCAGGGCGTTTTTTATCTAAAAAAGATGTCGGTTGTAAAATACAGGGGAAATTGGCTTAAAGAAGCTATTATTGTATATATTTTATCATGTCGGCTGATTTTTGATATAAATTTACAGTGGAGAGCGTGCCTCCAATTATAATTAATAAAAATATTTATATTATTAAAATATAAATAACTCTTTTTGCAAATGCAATATTTTATTAAAATATAAATAATTATTATGCATGTCTAAAAATTTATTATAATTAAGTTTTGTTTATAAAAATTTTATGACTAAGAACACATAGGCGTAGCCAGGGGCGCAAGGGGAAATCCCCCCCCCCTTAAAAATTTATCGCTTTTTGTGAATATCATTTTAAGCTAATAAAAAACATTCTCCTTAGTCCTCCTCCTACTCCCTGACCTTCAAAAATGTATGTATATATCTTAAACAATAATTTGAAAGAAAGAATGTAAAAGTTGATATTTTTTAAAAAATTATTCATCATAATTTATACATTTTTGGAAAAAACATTTATATATAAAAAAAGTGGACCGAAATTGTTTTTTAAGAAATGGAATATAAGCCAAAGATAAGTCTTAAGACAAAAGGGCAATGTATTATAATTATTAATAATAGATCCATAAAATTACTAAATAATATAATATATCAAATATAATTTTTTATAAAGTGAGTAATTTTAATTTATTAATCTTAATAAAAGTAAAATATAATTATAAAACTATTGATAAAATTAAATCATAAATTAAATGAAAAAATTAAAGCACAATACAAACAGTGGAACATTATATGTCGTAGATTTACAGTATATGACAATCAAGTAATTTTTACTAATTTAGCAAATTATATATTTTACAGAAAACTTTAAAATATTGATAAGGACATCAGAAAATATCTTTTAAAGACATTGTGGGATGAATAATATGAAGATTAATTTTTAATATCATTTTTTATTTAAAATAAATAGTTGGCGTTAAATAATTGAATGCAAATTGTTGCTATATTTATTATCAAGAGCATTAATTAGTAAAATTTGTTAAAATGTCAAATATGTCTGTAAAAGTGAAATTTTACCTAGTATTTTGTAACTAATTCTATATAATAGGAATATCAACTATATGTCTACTTACTTTTTATAAAAAAATTTCTTATACTTATTTGGAATAAATTATTGCCATGCTTTTATATTAATGTATATACAAGTAATTTATTATTATATAAACTAATAAAAATAAATTTCATATTTGTATTTATTTTATTAAAATTAACCTCCTATATTGTAAAAATCTTTGCCCAAAATCAGTAATTTTTTAATTCCCCCCCCCCTTTGGAAAATCCTGGCTACGCCTATGTAAGAACATATTATAATTATATTGCAATTTATTATTTTAATTTATAAAGAGAGATCTATTTTTCTCTTATATTTGGCTAATGATCTAGAATCAAATTTTTATCTAGAATAATCTCTTTATAAATATTTAATAGGGCTAATTCATTTAATCGGTTTTCACGATGATATTTCTTAAATAGATTTTTAACCTTTTCAAAGATGAACACGACCTTTCATTAGTGCAGAAGATAGTAATCGATAAGGTAGCCAAAATAAAAAAACAATGTTTTGATATTAGACAGGGAATCTAAAGTGCAATTACATATGGAAAAGGCCTGCAAAGCATTTTTTGATCTCAAAGAATACTCTATTCTGTCAAGATTTTTATACCAAAATTCGATATCAGAATAACTTATCATATAATCCTGATAAATCATCATAGTAAAACTCTGAGATTTGCTTAAATTTTGATCCTTAATATAGAATCAAGTCAAATATACCTTTTCAAAAATTTTACTTATCATCTGCGTTTAATGAAGACATAGCGAATAACAGAAATACGTGGAGAACTACAAGTGCTGAAAGAAATTGAACCATTTAAACAAGGCGCTAATACTTTTTAATGGTAGAATATTTGTTTAAAATAATAAAAATTAAAATTTTTCTAAATTAAATAAATTCGGGCGGGGCAGAATAATAATCTTTATTTTTATTTCGTGTCGGGGGTTGAAAAATTAGGCCCGAAGCAGATCTGTATAAATATCCTATTTTGGAGACCGATCCAAAATATGTTAATGTATTTTCTTTAAATAACTGATTAGATATAAGATTCAACCGGATACAAATAAGAAAAGAATCCGGTACATATTAAAAAAACTCAAAAACCGCGAATTTTGTTTAAATGAATGCATGCATATTTAGATGTTCAGATTTGGCATCGTTATTGTATAAATGCTATTTATATAGACTATGGGGTGCGTCCAAAATAAAATTTTATTTTTAAAAAAATTTATTTATTATTGAAATTTACGAAATCGAGTTTGGACGCAAAATACATAAATGCGAGAATATTTTATTTTTTTTTTGAAATTTTTTTTTGACTTTAGACCCCTATATCAGGAAATATAAATAAAGTGGTGGGTAAAATTTATAGCAAAAGGCTGATTATAAATAAAATTTAAAATCTAATTTGTGATAAATAAATAAATAATTCAAAAAATGATTTATTAATATAAATACAATACTCTTATATGTAGAGAATGAATTATATGACGAATATATTATCTATCAAAAAATTTATAACGTATGCGAGATTTATCTTGACTTTTGAGCTGAGTGTTAGTTATCTTATCTTGTGACTGAGTATTAGAAATATGCTCGTATACCTAAATTTAAAAATAAAAAATATATATTATAAAAATCAAAGATTTGCGGGAAGGAAAAAATTTAATTTTAATTTTTTAATAAATAAACTAGCAATTTTGGATTATCAAAGGTATAAGAAAAATATTTTAATTAAATATATAAATGCATTCAGAATCTGAATTTGATTTCTAATAGGGATGTACAGATATTTTATATCGGATCGAGCTGATATTTCGCCGATTTTAAAATATCGGTTATAGGCAAATATTATAAAATTTCCGATCCGATATAAAATGGCGCTTTTAACAAAATTTAAAAAAAAATTATATCTAAAAAACCATTTATTTTTATAAATAAAATCGAAATATATTTTTATGTTTAATTTTTTTAATAGTAATAATTAGTTAATAAACATTCTGCAATATAGTTTTTTTCTTTTCGCATTCTAAAAAAGTGTTCATTATTCCATTCAGAATCTGTTTTTAGTGATGCTAGTGATATTAACAGTCCCCATCACCGCAGACCGATCTCTGATAAATTGGAAATTTTGGTATTTCTAAAAAGAAATCTTCGATATATTAATTTTAAATATTAATTTCAAATTTCATAATATATTTGTTTATTACTTATCATGTAAATAGACTAATGTTATTACTTATTATATAAATAATAGCAATTGAATTGAATATAAACTATAACAGATCATTATAATATATTTAAATGACATATGTTATGATATAGTAAAATTATAGATGTTGTACTAATAAAAAATATATTAAAAATTAAAACCGGTATCTTTACAGAATACAAAATTAGATATGATGTAGGATCGGTTATCAGCCGATATCAATTTAATATCTGGAATATCGGATCGAATCGGCCTCCAAAAAGTGGTATCGATACACCCCTAATTTCTAATGATATTCTGAATAAAACACATAGTTGTCAATACATTTTCAAAAAACTAATTTCGTTAGATATTTTTTTAATACTATTTAAAAATATATTGAAAAACTACGGGTAGCAATTAAAGATCTGCAAAGCCTACCCCGTTCGAGAGCCGCGGGCCGGGAAATTTATAATATAAATCATTTATAATAAATTAATATACACTATGAATAATATTAAGCCTAACGTATAATTCACTTTTAGTAACAAAATATGGTAGCCCCAATAGTCTAATTTTGGATTCAGGTGGGGGTATTAATCAGAGTTGGGCAGTACCGCGAATACTTGTATCTAAGATACAAGATCCTTTTGTATCTTGTACTCAGTATCTTATTGACATTTTTAAGAAGATACTAGTATCTGTATCTAAGATTTTTTATTTTGAAAAGAATCTTGTATTATTTTCATTTTCTTTAAAAAGATACAGATAATATTCATGTTTAAAACATTTACATATCACACAATGTACTTTATTTTCTTCGTGAAATCTTGTATTATTTTCTTTATTTTTTCCCGCTATATTTTAAATATATTTATAACCAAAATTAGTTGGAAGTTTTACAGGTCACAAAGATTGATAGATTAAAAATAACAACACCAAAACTAAATAAGATAAGGATATATTTTATATGTAATATTTTTTAATTTGTAGAAAGTTTAACAATCATAGTAGTGAAGATGAAATTATGGAGATAGGTTCTCCTGAATCAAATCCGAATCTTAAAATTCTAGATGGAAAATTTTATAAAGTAATTCATGTGAAAAAGAACAAGGTACAAGCTGAATGTCAAAATTGCACAAGTAAAAAAGTTATTACAGGTTCAACAAACTCCTCTACAAACTTTGTTAATTAAACATATTAAAGTATATTTATTTTATAATTATTAACATAATAATACCTCTACTTAAGTCGCTCTTAGATAATTGTTATTAAAATTTTTTATAGAAGATGGTTGAATATCAAATTAAAATCATTTTGGATATATATTTTTTAGATGTATCGATACCACTTTTTTGGAGGCCGATCCCATATTCCCGATATTAAATTGATATCGGTCGATTACCGATCCGATATCATATCTAATTTTATATTCTGTAAAGATACCAATGGTTTTCATTTATAATATACTTTTTATTAGTACGTCTATAATTTAACTATACCACAACTTATGTCATTTAAATATATTATAATGATCAGTTATAGTTTATATTCAATTCAATTGCAATTCTATAAAAATATAAAATATTTTTATTGTTAAATCACTTTTATATAATAAGTAAGTAATAACATTTCACTTTTATATAATAAGTAATAACATTAATCTATATATATAATAAGTAATAAACAATTATATTATGAAATTTGAAATAAATATTTAAAATAATATTTAACATTAAAATATCGAAGATTTCTTTTTAGAAATACCAATATTTCCAATTTATCAGAGGTCAGCTTGCGGCGATAGTAACTGTCAATATCACCAACTTCACTAAAAACAGATTCTGAAGAAAATTTCGCACACTATAATAAACAGAATGCGCAAAAAAATAACAATATGGCAGAATGTTTATTAATTATTTATTATTATTAAAAAAATATATAAAAAAATGGATTTCGATTTTATTTAAAAAAATAAATGATCTTAGATATAACTTTTTTTAAAAATTTTATAACAATTTATTTTTGTTAAAGAAGCCATTTTATATCGGATCAAATTTTATAATATTGGCCGATAACCGATATTTTAAGGGTGAAGTCGGCCCGATCCGATAAAAAATATCGGCACATCTCTAATATATTTTGTATATAATTATTTTAGCAAGTTCTTATTAGAGGAAATATTCAAGCTACACTTGATATATAACATTAGATAATTTTAAAAGGCTCTTAATAAAATAATTATAATAAAGTAGAATTTAACTTTATTAGTTACTTTTATTTATTTATGATATAAGTAAAATTACATTACAGCATTTATTTACAAATTTAATCAATTTAAAATGCATAAGAAAATTGTTATGTATTTAATAATTATAATAAAATGTTATACATTATTTTCATATTTTTTATATATAATTAATAATTTTGCAAGAAATATATAAAAAAAATTTGAAAAGAGATTCAAATGCAAGAATTAATAAGTCATATTAGAAAATAAAATACATAAATATCACAAACAAGTAATGATAAATACTTATTAAAGATAATGAATAAAATAAAACTAGTATATTTTTTTAGAGACGCCATTTAGCCATATACTCCGAATATAAACTATACTTAAAACAACACAGAAAATAACCTGCAAATTCTAATAAAAGATTTAATTTAATTTTTTTTCTTATTTGCAAATTTCATCTCCCATTAAATATATTACTCTCCCTTCCTTGTTTAAGCTATTAATGGGCAAAAACTAATATTAAAATCCCTGTTTATTATAATTAATTCATTAATAAATATTTTATTAATTATTGCAAATATTCTATCTTATATGTGTATGCTATGTTCTTCACAAATAAATAATAAAAACTGTATTTTATAAACTATTCTAATTTAATTGGTAATGATAATTTAAAAGTATCTTGTATTTAAAATACTCTAATTTAATAAAAGATACAAGTATCTTTTATCTTGTATCTTTTTGATATTTTGAAAAAGATACTAGTATCTGTATCTAAGATTCATTTTTTTTAAGAATCTGTATCTGTATCTAGATTCTTTTACTGGAGGACCTGCCCAACTCTGGTATTAATACATTATATAAGACAATTAATTTAGAAGATTAATATTAAATAAGACTATCCTAATGAGGTAAAACTAAAAATAACTAATTTATATTTCAAATATTTATTAACTTGATTGGCTTGAATTATCGAAATACCATTATCACTCATATTAACCAAAGCTTCGTTTATTTTGAAAGTATCGACTCCTCTGCAAGCATCCACTATCAAATAAGTGTTGTAGCCAAAGTCTTTAGAATCCATAGCAGTGTGATCTTGGTCATATAGAGAAAGATTAAATTTTGTTCAGAGTTAAAGAGCATTTCTGAAATTCTGAAATAGTCAACAAAAAGAAAGCCACATTATAAAAATCGCCCATAAAATTAAATAAAATAAATGGCCAGTCAAAAAAATATATGGCTCTGGCCGTGGCCGGGCGTTGAAAAATTTGGCGTCAAATCTACTTTAAGGTATAAAATTTCTTATTATTTTAAGTAATATTATATAAATTCATATTGTAAGGTATAATTTAAGGATGGTTATTTTTATTTATAGTAGGACTGGGAAAAAGAAAGAAAAAATTATGACATTTCTTTTGAATTTACAAAAATAAAACAAAATACTCCATATTTTTTCTTTAACATTCAATGAGAAATCTTTTTAATTTAGTTTGTTTCAAAAATGGATCTGTATTATTTATGAATATTTTTGTAAATGACATATTTATAGTGATCGTAATTTTTCTTTATCTATATAAATTTATATTTTTTGATAATTCAAAGTTGATATTCTTATTTATAAAACAAAGTAATCACTACAAAAATTAGGCGGACATTTCTCAAATCTATTATGTAAAATTGCCTTAGTATTGATAACAATCTAGTCTTCAATAACTGATTTAGAGAAAGATTTATTTTTATTAAAAACACAAAAAAAGTTAATCTCTCAAAACCAAGGACCTGGGGTAAAATTTTGAGTAAATTGATAGAATGGAATGATTTTTCAAAAACACGTTATATTCTCATTTTATTAATACCTTAAACCCAGGGACAAACTTTATTAAATTATTAAATGTAAGTTTTGGTCCCGTTCTAAATCGCTATAAAAATGGGAATTTTTAGAATTTATAACTTAGGACTACGTTCTAAATCACTAAAATTGGGGATCTCGCTTATATTTTCTTGAAAATTTTAAAAGCAATATTGAAAATAATATTAATAGATGATAGGGAGGTAGCCCTTTGTATTTAATTGAGTTTTTTCTAAAAAGATAGCTAAAAATAAGAGAAATATCATCAATATTCCCAAAATTTGTTCCCAACTGGGAACAATATTTTTTCCCTTTTTATCGAAGTTTTTAAAACTCATTTAAATACATATGTCTACTGCCCTAGCATCTATTAATATTATTTTCATTATTACTTTTAAAATTTTGAAAGAGATATAAGCGAAATCCCCAATTTTTAGTTTTTTGTTTTAGGGATTTAGAACCTAACCCTAAGTTATATATAATCTAAAGCTCCTTTAATGTTGTCGAAGTAAAACTTATAACATAAATAAAATTATCAACTAAAAAAACAGTGAATCGTCTGAATGATTCGAATATAAATTCGATCCGTTATAAACACCTACCATCTCAATAATGACATTTGGCTCTTAACATTTTTATCCCCACTCCGTTCAAGCCAAGTGAATTTCTAAATTAAATTAGACTCTTAAGAGAAGTATTAATGGACTTAGATGCAATAATCAAATTAAGTCAAAAATGAGAGTGTGAAACCTAGGATTAGAAGGGTTGTTTCCGGTTTTCGATACTTTCAAAAGGTGGTTCTGCTTGGTACATGAAATTTTCAAATGAAAATTCTGGTTTCTTAGAACCGATGCGGTTCAAATGATAAAACTAAAACTGTTTTATTTTTTATTTTCCTAGCCCTATTTGTAAAGTGCCACATTAACAAACAAACTTAATTTCAAAACAATTCTATTTTATACCACTAAAATGATTTTTTTTGACAGATCAGATTCATAGGAAAAAAAGTTATATGGTAAAGAAGAGTTGTTAAATAATAATAAAAAATTATTTATTACACACACAAATGTCTAATGCCAAACCGCAAATGTAAACGTTTTGAATGGACAATGAGTCGAGTTTTTCTTTAAGACCAGTGCTAACAAATTTCTCGTTACTCCAAAAGGCTGAATAACAATCGATATCGCGATCACATCCTTTGTGCAAAAATTGTACATCTTTAATGGTTCCCGTTGGTTTTGCTATCTTGAAATTGATAATATTGAATGTAATATATATGTGTGTGTGGATTGCTTAATAGATTTTAAAAAAATAAGTATACTATTTAAATTGATTTAAACACATGCCTGCATTCACAGTTAGCGTGAATTCGTAGCGAAGTATACAAAAACTATGAATGCAAGGTTATGAGATAAAAAAGATTAGAATTTATTTTGCAAAAGAACATTTTAAAAGTGACGCGTTACCGGTATTTATTTTTTTTAAATAAAGTAGTTCGCTAATCCCCATCATTTCCAAATTGTAGTCATTTACTTAACTAATACTTCCACTTTATTTATTTATTTACTTTTTAATAATTAAAATTATTTTTCCCTTTTATGTAATTACGCTCAGGTCTAGAGTGGTTACCATTTAGCACAAACTATAAATTTCGCAACATTGAAAAATTACTCACAACAAACGCTAGAGGATTATTATTTCTTTGATGAAAAAGAAGAGTTCTCATGGGACTTTCTAATATATTTATCTTCTCTTTTTTTTTAAAAAATTGAGTATTTGAAATCGTTATCCTAGTGGAAAATAACAAACTTAGTAAAGGTGAAGGTTCGGTATGGATTTTCAAAGAAACTGAACAGATTTTTATTCGGATTTTGAATAAAATATTTCATTTGTTGGCAAATATAGAAACAATAAAATATGATATCAAACCACAACATTAATAAATATTGGCATCTAAGATAGAGGTAAAACTTAGCACCCTTAAAATAAAAATTAGCATGATATTTATTTAAGTGCTTCTAAGGTTATTTAAAAGGTTATGCGTTAAATCGGCACAGCGATAATTTGGCGCGGAGACAATTCTGCGCGTATCGATTATAGTTGCAATTTATTATAAATTTATTAGTATAAAACAAAAGGATCATTAAATAAAATTTATGTTGAGGTTTGGTCCTATTAATTAATTTTTCATTTTCTTTTTACAAAAATATTAAATTGTTTTTCTAATTGCGTAATATCTAATATCAATAAAAAATTTAATAATATCAAAAAAAATTATTAATTTAATAAACCAATATTTATACCTTGATTTCTTTGGTGGAGGAATTTACCGTGTTATAAAGACAATAAGTAACAAAATATCCTTAAAATATTTCGCGTTTATGCTTTAAGGAACTTTGGGATATTGAATATGTAGTTTTCAGATCCGATATTCTCGATACTAAATGGATATCGGCCGATTACCGATCCGATATCATATCTAATTATGTATTCTGTAAAGATACCAATGATTTTAATTTTTAATATACTTTTTCAATATAGCAGAATGTTTATTAATTAATTATTATTTTTATAAAAATAAATGGTTTTTTAGATATAACTTTTTATAAAAATTTTATAACAATTTATTTTTTCTAAAAAAGTCATTTTTTATCGGATCGGAAAATTTTATAATATTGGCCGATAACCGATATTTTAAAATGGGTGAAATGGTCCGATCCGATAAAAATATATCTACATCCCTAATATTATGGTTACTACAGCAAAAATTTAATGAATAAATCTTGTAAGCAAGGCAAAGACCCTACCAGGACGTATAATATGTTTATTAAACAAATAGGATAGAAAATTTATTTTTTCCAAACCTGAGTCGGATTTTTTTATTGCCAATAAAAAATTTATATTTTCCGCGTCAAATGGTGAATTGTTTAATAATTTTTTAAAATAGTGAGAATGTTTAAAATATTTATTTGAAAATTTTTTGTAGACCCAGTTAATAGAAGCATACATACCCAGTCCATAAAGTGTCTTTGGCGCGACCTCAAAACAAAATATGTTAAATCTTGAAGGTCACAGTTTATAAAAGATTTATATAAATCTATTAAATTAAAAATGTTTTAGAAGATATTATCAAGCTTTAAATGTATATAATATATATTTTGTTATATTTTTTTATTTTAAATTTGAAAAATAAATAATTTAAATAAAGAGTAAAATATTTAATATATGTAATTAGAAATAAAGCTTATAAGTAATGATATAGTGATCATTGAGAAAGAATCAAAGGTATCCAAATTACAAATCTAAACGGCATCTTTATAATCCATAAAGCTTTTTATTTCGTCCATTTTTGAAGATTTTTTTAAAAACTTAATTTAAATAAATGTATCTAATCCCCTAGCATCTATTAATATTAATTACTACTTTAAAAATTTACTAGGAGATATATGCGAGATTCCCAATTTTTCACTATATCGTGCTCTTACAGACTGATTTGGACCGTTTTCATTTCGATTTGTAATATGTTTTTGAGATATTCAAAGAACAAAATGGGAGCCAATTTCACAACAGCCCCCAAATTTTGAATTTAATAAAAAGTGTAATACCCAAAATTTCCTAAAGTACAACGATAGATAATCTTTTTCTCTTCTGAATGATACTTCAAATAAATTTTTATCTCGATTATTTATTTCGGAAATCAGATTTTAAACTTATATTAAAGCGAGAAGTTAGCCCCCCCCCCTCCAATATTGCAATTCTTTTGGATTTTCAATGGTTTACAAGTTGGACTGATTTGTACCCTTTCAAACTCAATTTGACCATTACAGTTTACCAGCTATTGATAGTTAAAAATATGGCGCCAAAAATAAAAACACTCAAAATTAATTTTTTTTTAAATTTTTTAACGAACAACGATAGAGAACCTTTGTCTCTTCTTAATGATGCTTCAAATTAAATTTCATATCCATCAAACATTTCGGAAATCAAATTAACTTATATTATAGCGTGAAGTTTAGCCCCCCGATATTGCAATTTTGGCATTTTATTGACGTGATGCGATGAAATTTATTATTTATTATTGTAAAATAAAATGTGAAAATTCAAGTTTTATAGAAAGTGTTTTATAAATTTAAAAAATATATATTATTTTTTCTGAAACAATATGTAAATGATTTATACCAAGAAAATGGAAAACCTCACGCACCATCCGCATATATATGGTGTCCATTAAGCGCATGTATATTCCAATACTCCAAAATATCTGTATATTATAAAAACGGATAGATATTATATTAGATCCCAAATTGACCCAGCATACTATGAAAAGTATTCTTAATAACATTTGCTTGATGTTAGCCCTTTTGATCATTCAATAGACCACAATAGTCCTAGCAGTAGTAAAGATATGAAATCTTATACTAAAAAATTTATTTTAACCTTATCTTTTGATGAATGGAAAAAAATAAAACCTATTAATAAAATTTTTAATAATAATAATACCACAAAGAAGGGAAGGCCATATTCTGTGTTGCGGAATATGGGCTGATAAAATACAATCTAATTTTTGGGATGTTACAAGATAACCTTGTTCGATTCAGGTCATTAGGGCAAAGGTGTATGATAATGACCCATATTATGAAAGGAGAATGTTCCTATTGTAAATCAATTTTAAAAGCTTGTATTCCAGTACGTCCGTAGTTAGAGCAGAGAGCTATAGTGGAATGCGTTTATAGTGGCCATTTTTGAGAAGATCATGAGCAAAATATAAAAAAAAGAAGATTAGCCGATGAGACACTGGTTAATTTTGCAAAGGAAATTATTAAAATGCAACGTCTTTCGTACTGAGCTAGCAAGTAAATTTATGAAATTCGATGATATGTTCATCTACTTAAACCGAGGTTATTATAAAAGCAAAATCTATGGCGGTTATGGCAGCTCGCTACGATGAAAATCCCATTTCATTAGCAAAAAACACGATACCATTTATTTTAGATAGATTCTATGTACATTATTGGAGTAGGGAACAAATGCAGATTTATAAGATATTTCAAAAATATCTAATGATCCCACTGGTGGTGTGGTACGCAATTTTGATAGACCGTTTGGGAAAAATCGGGTCCTATATTCTTATATGATACTGATGTCAGAAATCCACAAACAAAATATCAATACTCAGTGTGCAACATGCTTTCTGAAAGGCATGATACAGAAAGTATAGTCATTTGCCTAAATTTTGGATACGAGATGGAGCCACAGTGCCCAATGAAATTATATCCGAACCGACATGTCTCTTGCCTTATTATCGACTATATGCATTGCATTCACAGCGCATTCATCTTTCAATAATTACATAATGGCCTGCCATTATTTATTTTCAATACTGGTTTAATAAAAATACCACTTTGTTATAACCGGTGTTGTGACTCACACAATAAAATTAGTAACTACATGGAAATGTCTGAAAGGATAATCACATCGTATACGTTAATTTTATATAACCTAATGATGTTGACAAAGGATATCTATAATCTTCAAAAAACTTGATATTCAATATTCGTTATAGCTTTAAGCGAAACGGAAGGAAGTAATATAAATATAATCCTAAAAAAATTACTGAATGTGAATGCGCAATAAGTTGGCTTAAAGAAAAATTTGCGTTGGAGATATTTTAGATTGTCATGATCTCCTTGTATTTTTGGCTTCTTAAAAATATCAGAGCACCATTGCGCGAATTTATTATCACCTGAATGAGAATAGAAACAATCAATATCATATAAGGGCTCCTCATTGTTATCATTCTCTTTTTCTGATAAGACCCAAACGAAAATTTTTCTTTAAGCCAACTTATTGCGCATTCACATTTAGTAATTTTTTAGGATTATATTTATATTACTTCTTCCGTTTCGCTTAAAGCTATAACGAATATTGAATATCAAGTTTTTTGAAGATTATAGATATCCTTTGTCAAAATCATTAGGTTATATAAAATTAACGTATACGACGTGATTTTCCTTTCAAACATTTCCATGTAGTTACTAATTTTCTTGTGTGAGTCACAACACCGGATATAACAACGTGGTATTTTTATTAAACCATGATTGAAAATAAAGTACAGGCCATTATGTAATTATTTAAAGATGAATGCGCTGTGAATGCAATGCATATAGCCGATAATAAGGCAAGAGACATGTCGGTTCGGATATAATTTCATTGGGCACTGTGGCTCCATCTCGTATACAAAATTA